CCAAGATTTCCACGGTAATGGAGATTTCGGTTTGTAACTTATCGTCATGTTCGACGATATAAGGTAATATTCATGATGAATGATTGCTTAAGGTAGAAATGAGGGTGCCACATTATTAATCAGTTAAATATTTGATTTATACAAGATCCAAATCATCAAATTATGAAATTATTATTTATTTTAAAAAATAATATTAATTATATTAAATGATTGACTGAAACTGTATCTCGTGATTATTATAAAGTACAGAGTTCTCATTTAATTATGCTCGTTAACTAATTATTAATTGTTTCTTCTTCATATTTTAGATCTTATTTTTCATTTCAATCCTTTTTCTAAACTCATATAAATTTTATAAAATAATTATATAAACAATAAAAAATCTGGATCTAGAAAAAAGTATCACCAATCAAGGTTGCTCTCGAATATTTCCATTGACCATATCACTTTAAGACCGAGTCTTCTGTACCTTTACTCCACACACATATATTCTATAAACCCTCCAGAAATATCAAAACGACTTCATGCCTATGTATAAACACATTATATCCAGGTTTGAGTTTCACAAATACCAATTTTTATAACGGGTCATATCTGCCTTTCTAAAATATAATTTTTTTTTTGATTTATATGATAGTGTTATGCATGAATCATAATGGGTCTAGATAGGAGTGACAAAAAATGACTCGGCCCATTAATCCAATCCAACCCCAAACCCAGAATTAGCAGGTTGGATTGAAATTTTCAACTTATTTAAATAAATGAGTCAACTTGTTTAACCTATTTAAATAAATGGGTTGGGTCGAGTTGAATTTTTTGACCTATTTTCAACCTGTTTTCGATCCATTTAAAATATTATATAATTTTTATTTTGTTCTTAACATTATATCTAGTACTCTAATTTTTAATTAAAAATCCTACCGTCGTGAGATAAAAGTCCAAATTCCAATTGTCTCTGTTACTCTTAGTCATCATGAAAACCTAAGAAAACCCTTTAGTCCATTGCTTCATTATCGCCTTCAAAGTCCAATCCAACTCTTCAGGAAAAGTAGAGGATCAAGATGAAAGTAATACAGAGAGTAGACTTGGGGTTCGTGAAAGTGGAAGTCGAGTTACTTAGAATTTAAAAAAATTCAATTTATTTTGAACAATAAATTTGTTGTGGTTGTGTTTTATTCAAACTTTAGACAATTTGTTTGTATTTGTGGTTGTGTTGTGTTTTATTTAATAAAGTTAAATAGTCTAGTTTTTTTTTTTTAAATTTTAAAGTTAAATGGGTCAACCCAGGTTCAACCCATTTATTTGACATGTTGGGTTAAGAAAATCGTAAACAGGTCAACCCATTTAGGTTGAAAAATCTCAACTTATCTATACTATATTATAAAACATTTGGCTAAAACTCTTAACACTCTTAAAAACTCTTAAAACTCTTAAACATATTTCATCCCTATCCGATTTCATCCTATATCTGAATTCGTAAACTCACTGCAGATAAATACAATCAAATACATGATAAACATCTAATTTTAAATATAAAAAATCTAAAATATAATTAGGATAATCATTGAGTTCTAACAGAATACTTTATTATTATCTTTATAAAATGTTATGTTATTAAA